CCCCCTGCCCTTCCTAGCCCAGCTCAGTGAGAATGGAAGTGGGGTTCAGATCCCGCCAGAAGGTGTGCCAAGGCTGGTGGTGAATGTCCTTGGTACTTGAAGCACATGAGCTTTGGCTCTCCTCCCCCTCTCCTCTGCTGAGACACCCCCTTGGCTGGGGCATCTGTGTCTGTCTTGGCCTCTGTCCTGGCCGGGTGGCCGTCATTCCATGTTCTGAGTGCCGCGCCGCGTGGCACAGTCAGTAGCAGTGGCATCGGCTGGACCCAGGGCTTCGTGTCATCCTCCCGGGCTGAGGAAGAGTCGGTTTGTTCATGACATTCTGGGAATCCCTGAACTCACAGGTTTCTGAAGTTTCACTGTTGTTTTTCCTTTTTTGTCTAGGGGGTCTTGGCCAGTTGGGAGTGGGGCTTGCTAACCTTTTAAGGTAAGAGTCTTAAAGACTTGATATTTGAAACCTGAGTTCCTAAGTACAGTTTTTCTCTAGCACCATTTAACCGTCTCCTCCTGCCTCTTGTCCCTTCCCATTTTTAAGATATGGCACCTATGTTGCTTTTAAATCACATTTTGCTTTGCCTCCTGATGTCACAGACCAAGGCAGGCCCTTGACTCTAGCTCACACAGGCCCTTTGCCATCTTTCTCCTATCTTAGGCAAAGTGGGACTCGTCCCAGATGGATCATTTGGCTTTTAGTTGCTTGGGGTCAGAGGGAAGCATTTTTAGAAACTGGAAAGGAACCGTGTGGGATTTGGAGAGAGTGGGACAAAACTGTGACCCTCTAGAGATGTAGCAGGGCTTACAGGTGGCTTAGGTTAAAAACACTTCACTCATTGACTTGAGCCTGCAGATGATTTTTTACATCTTAGCATCTCGTTTCCATTTGGCATCTGTCTCCTTGGATTGTAGGAACAAGACTGATAAACATCTTGTGGTGAGTCAAAACCACCCTTTAGGGAACAGCAACTCTCTTACCACTAACCCTGACGAGCCCCTGTAACCAGTCCTGAGACGACCATCAGCCGGACCACAGTCTGACCAGCACTGCTTGACTGGGCTCGGTTCTGGTTCCTTTGTCTATAACCCGGGAAGGGGGCCCGGGCCGGTGCTCCTGAAGACGGGGCTGGTCCTCCTGCTGCAGCTGTGCCCACTCCAGTCCTCTCCTGCTCTTCACCAGCCAGAGTCCACATTTTGTTGGTTGGAACAAGTGTCCAGACCTATCGTTGGAACTTTCCCCGAATTGGGCTTCTGACTTAGAAGTCCAGTGACAGGGATGCTGGGGAGAACCCAGTGACAGACATAGCGTTGACAGCGGGGTGAGAAGAGAAACAGAAGATGAGGCTGGGTGGGAAGGGGCATGAGAGAAGCAAGGTGTGTCCCAGGTGAGGAGGAAGGAGGCTGCTTCTGCTTTTAAAAGATTTTTTTTCTTTTTTTTTTTGCAGAAGCTGTTATATCCTCCAGGTTGCTGACTTGTGTTTTGATTTTCCCTTTAGGAAACGATTTGGGGAGGAAAATGTGATTTTGTCAGACATAAAGAAGCCCCCCAATTATGTCTTACATCGTGGTAAGTGATCGATAGGCCTTGCTGCTATATTTATTTGAATTTTCAAAGTGTGGTTAAAGATGTGGTTCATGGAATCAGTGTGCACGACAGACCCTATCCAGGTATGTGCCACTTAAAAGTATTTGATATTTCTAATGCTGCTGGAATTTTTTTTTAACCACTTGAATAGCAGCAGCTATTAAATCATTTGATGTTTCAAAATAATATCTTTTGATATAATTTGGAGTAATATCTTTGGAATAAAAACTTGGATTCCTGTCTTTTGAATTTTTAGTTAATTTACTGGCTCAGAGTAGACAAACAGATCAAGTTCTATGATGAGGAAAAAGAACTTTAAAAACTTGGAGATATTAATTGGGATGTTATAAGGCAGAATCGCTCTTTTTTTTTTTTTTAAAGAGAGAGTGAGAGAGGAGAGAGAGAGAGAGAGAGAGAGAGAGAGAGAGAGAGAAAATTTTTAATATTTATTTTTTAGTTCTCGGCGGACACAACATCTTTGTTGGTATGTGGTGCTGAGGATCGAACCCGGGCCGCACGCATGCCAGGCGAGCGCACTACCGCTTGAGCCACATCTCCAGCCCCAGAATTGCTCTTAAGCTATGGCACACACACACACAAATCACTCAAGCTCCTCTTGTGAAGTTGTCTACTGCCTCATAAGCATTCCATCCTGTCTGTCAGTCCTTCCTGGTTCAGAGTTGGCCTTTTTCTATGTGTCCTGGGCAGATTAGCAAGCTGCTGGGGGGTGTGGGTGACCTTCCGTTGGTCTTGAGCAGAATCGTCTCTGCCTCCTGTGTAATTAGAACTGATGACTTAGGATTCTTCTGTACCAAGTGGATGGTTAAAAATCCACTTCTCTATTTCTTTTGAAATATGCAGCTTGAAAGCAGAATGAGGTGACCAGGGAGCTGGAGTTGGCATCAGCAGTGACGCCTAGGGAGGGGGTGGCAGATGCCCAGTGGTGACCCGACTTCTTCCACTTGTTTTCTGTTTGACCCCTGGCAGCTGCTGAACTTCTCTGTGCCTCAGGTTCCTCACAGGTTAAATGTGCCTACCTCCAAGGCTAAGAGAAGGTGAACTACACCTGGGGCTCAGTTCCTTGTAGGAGCACCAGCTATTATTACCTGCGGATCCCAGCGGGATTCACCAGGTGTGTGGACTGCTTGGCCCCTCAGATCCCCACCTGCTCGCCTGTGTCCTGTAGGCCCCTTCATTTATGCCGATGTCCTGGATTACAAGCGGCTCCGGGAGATCGTGGTCAACCACCGCATCACCTGGCTGTTCCATTACAGCGCTTTGCTCAGCGCCGCTGGAGAGGCCAACGTGCCCTTGGCCCGAGCCCTGAACATCACTGGTGAGTGTCCGGCCGCCTGTCCGCTCTCCCGCCCCTCACTCCTCGGTGAGAGAGGTTCTTGCGGTTCTGATGACCCTGCCCCTCAGGGCTGCACCACGTCCTGGACATCGCGACGGAGTACCACCTGCGCTTGTTTGTGCCCAGCACCATCGCGGCTTTTGGATCTACCTCTCCCCGAAATCCAGCCCTTGACCTCTGCACCCAGAGGCCCAGGACCATCTACGGGGTGTCCAAGGTGCACATGGAGCTCATGGGAGAGGTAAGCACCCCTGGGAGGCTGCTGTCCCGCGGCAGGTCTGTTCCCTTCAGTTTCCTTTCCCACTCTGCCTGGAG